TTTTTATTCATACCTGACGCCTTAAAATTTAACTAAATCAATAATTTTATAAAATCCTTCCAAATTAGTAATATTTTGAATACCATCAAATTTGTATGAACTTTTAAAAAGTCATAATTAAATACCATCAAATTTTTATGAATTTTATCAAAATCTGATTGAATACCACAAGATTTTAATAGATTCCAAAAAAATCTAAATTGAATACTATTGAAATTTTAAAATTTTCTAAAATCTAATAGAGTTTTAATCTAATATATGCTCTAAAATCTCGTTCATTTATTTTATTTTATTGATATCAAACGTTACAGTTGTAAGTTAGTGCTCCCCTCTACAATTGCTCGAGCTAAAATTTAAAATTTTATTAATACATCGGGCGATAGTCTAGTTTGTCTTTTTATTTACGTGAAAAGTAAAAAATTTTAAGTTCAAATCTTTTCGACCATAATCGTTTTTACCGATTTAATAAACCATAAGAAAAAACTAACTCTATCATATAGTCCACAGTCTTATTTAAAATCATAAAGGTCTCCATCGAATTTTAAAAAAAAAAAAATTCAAAACTATTGGTTAGTGTGCAACTTTTTGCACTCAATGGCACCATCCCAAACGCCACATTTTAGTTATGACTTGGCCCACCTAGGCCTTCGTCTGAGAAAAATAATATTGGTAGAAACTGAATTGCCTTTTTCTTTTTTGCTAGTTTATACAAAATTTCATAAGTCCATGTTAAATGAAGTTTCTTACAATGCGAATTACACTATACATTTAAATACATGAAGGGCTTATCTACACTTGTTTATGAACCTACTCCTTATACTCAACTAATCAAAAATAATTTTTTTAATCAAATAAGACCAAAAATAAAAAAAAATAAAACAGTAATGATATTTTAATAAATCAATTTCGATTTGGCTTATACAAACAGTAATAATATTTTAATAAATCAATTTCAATTGACTTGATGTATAAGCCAAATGTAGAAGAATCTTATCCTCTACATTAGTATGCCATAAAGGGGTATAATTGAAATATCCCAAAATTTAAATTTCAAGACTTTCTCAAATTAAAATTACTTTATAATATTGTAACATTTAAAATAAAAGTTTTAATTTAATATTATTATTGTAGGCGGTAAAACCAAGTGTCTTGAGTCTACAATTATTGAGAAATTAAATTAAACGATTAAAAAAAAAATCATGTCTCTTTTGTGTGATTCGAAAGAGAGAGGTCTTACTGCCATTAAGGCTGCAGTCGGTAGTATGACTAAGTCCAGAGAAATATATTTTTCTTTATTTGAAAAAAAAAATATTAAAGGGAGTAATATTTCTCTTATTTTAAATCTTTCAAATTCGGAGAAAAAATAACAAAAGAAAGCAAAAATTTTCACTCATTTTTTTTATCAAATTATCCAAATACTCCAAATTAATTAACAAACTTTAATCCTTTTTTAATATTTCATTATTTAAATGAAAACATAATTATCAATTTTTCATAATAATAATTTATTTACTCTAATATTTTAAAGATGTGAAGATAGATATGTTGATGAACTGGTAGGTTCGATTCTTCATTTCGATAAAGATGGGTATCACTTCGTCGCTGAATGTGGAATTTTTTTCTTTCCAAACAAAGGAAAATAAATTTATTTTTTTATCATCATTACATCAAAACACAAATGCAAAATAACTATGAAAAGAAAATTTGACAAAATCAGCAACACCCTCAAATTCTCAGAAAACAAAAAACCATTTATCAGCAAAGCCCAAAAATCTTCTCCATAGACCACTTAACACTAGCATCTCAAATCAAGAGTAATTATGTTTAGCAGAACAATACACAATTATATTTATGCTGTGTTTACTTTGTTTAGTTCACTAACAGAAAAGGCAAGTTGAAAAATATAATAACAAAAAAGAAGAAAAAAAAAAGTGTACTTCATTATAATAGAAATACTAAATAGTAATTCACCCTATCATACAAAATAAAAACTAATGTCAATTCAATTGTTAAATTAACATTCAATACCATCAAATCGAATAGTTAAATTATTCGGTTGCTTAACCGTACATGGATGCAGTTTAACAACTACTAAGACAAACAGCAAATAGGCTCTTACCAGAAAAATAGACATGGTTTCACATTAATGTTGATGCCAGAAGGAGCTAAAACACAAACTCATGAGGTTGTCTCAAGCATTCTAACTGTTAATACGGTCAGCTTCAGATAGTAATACTACTTAATTTGTATTAGTCATTTACATGCCTCAACTATACTAACCTGCTTAATCAGAGCACAAGAGACATTTCTACTGAAATTAGAAATTGTATTAAGCTAGAATGGCTAATGTTGCAACACTACTCTTGCTTTCGTTACATGGTAAAATTAGATGTAAGGTTGTGGAAGTGTAAATTACATGTATCCAACAAAATCACCTTAATTTCCTCCAAAATCTTCTCTTTCTTCATTTTCCCCTTTCACATGCATGTATAAAATGCCAGCTAAATTGCGCCCACTAAACTTAGGACCAAATTCTGTTATGGTGACAAAACATCGATTCGTTATAATTTGGTCACTCAACTTTACATTTTGTTCCGATTACATCTAACTAAACCGTGAACTTGTGATTCCAACTGATATATACATTGAATCAAGCGATATTGGTATGACTAGACTCCTGATTATGAGCATTCTTTTCCGACCAAATATTTACCACCTAAATTCACCAAGGAGCGAAAATTAAGGAGAGAGAAATCGGAACTTATGAATCTGAACTCCCCAAAATTGTAGCCATTCTAAGAGCATAACCTCGCTAATGACCTCCAAGACATCATTATGCATATAGTGGTATGCTCCATTCCTTTATTAACCACTTAAATGAGGTCAATTATAGTTGATTGCAACAAAAATTTAAAATTAGCGATCAAAATTATATTAATTACTAACTAAAGCGGCAATTGTAATAAATAAACAAATGTTTTATGACCACAATACAACTTGGTTACCGGTGCAATTTACATATAAAATGGAGACTAACGTCATTCCATCAAAGATAAACAATCAAGATGTCATGAGACATAGTGTATCATAATTACATAAAAAGACAACGGATCTATTTGATTTTGTTTCATTTACTGTTGCCTTTACTTTTAGGCTGTCATATAATGCCTATCATATAATATCCATTATTAACTTCCTCACCATAAATATTTTATAACGTCAACTCTTTTATTTTAATCAAGCAAAAAAAACAACAGTGTTGTCCTAATATGACACTAACCATATGTATGCTCATTCTAAAACTACAAACACTATGTTTTTTATCATTCAAGTAATTTAGAATTACTTTATGGTACACCTTCACAATAAATTTGTATAATGATTAACTTACCGTTTCGTTTAAATGAATTAGAGTTGTGGAACCCATTTAGAATGAATCCCACTTAGAATTCATTTAGAAATAAATTCTTGTGTTTGGTCCGATACAACTTAAAATGTAGAATTAAATTGAATTCCACATAATCGATGTTTGATATAATTTCATAATTGAATTTCATTTATCCTCACTTCCTAAACAACCCTCAATGGAAATAATATTGCTCATTTCTTAATAATGTTGCTCAGTTCTGACCATTTGTTTGCACAAATCCATATCATCGCAGACATGCAAAACTAATGACAAATGCATGTAGCAAATTTAGAGTATGGACCTTCGAGCTAGCGTGAGATCTAAAGTATAGCAAATAACAGCCTTTTAAAACAACTTGGATTCTGGAAAAAAAGAAAACCCTTGAAAATGGAAATTAAAAATGATCATGTAAGTAAATACCCTTCCAGACATATTGTAGCAAAACAACATTTAATTACTGATCAAAGATTCAAAATCATAATCAAATTGTAGAAACCTTAACTTATCTCTTCTTCTATAAAAATCAGCCTTTCCAGTGGATCTCATTGAAATCAACTAAACTTACCAAATTGCAATAAAGTTAGATTTTAGCAGCCAAATTTAGACAAATTGAAGTTTTGTGATCACAATGAAAATCAGAGGCTATTTCAGAGATTATTATGATAATTTTCAACATGATAATAGAAAAAAGATTATGTCGGTGCAAGTGAATATGAGGAGTGTTAGTTACATGGAAAGAAGACATCTTTGCAAAGTGATATTACCAATAAATTGAAAGACGATTATGATTGTTATTGAATGGTGGCAGTCATCAACAATGATGGTTTGGCACAAATATCTGACATCAGCAATGAAGCTACTACATCACTGTATAGTAGTTAGCGAGAGCCAAGGCGTCACAGGGCTAGGTCTAACATCCCTTGCTCCCATTTACCAACTAATATTTCCCTCAATCTAGGCCAGCCAAGTACCAAATACCAAGGATCTCATCCAACCAAAGGGGCAAGACACAAAGGAATATCTAAGTTTTATTAACCTTGGGCCATGTTGACGTCATGTAACACATATTGCCCTAGAGGAAACCTTCCTGCAGAGGAGAATCACACATTATGGACAGCCCATTATGGCAGCCCCATAGCGTCCATAAGGCCCCCCTATGGATAACCAAGCCCTCTCACCCGATTACAATTATGGAGCTCACTTAAGGCCCAATACCATCCACTGGCCTCAGGAATGGCAGAGAGCATGCGCCAAAGGAGTGTACCCCCACCCAAAAAAAAAAAAAAAAAAAAAAGCATGCGCCCAAAAAGGAGTGTAAACCCCACCCAAAAAAAAAAAAAAAAAAAAGAATATGGAAAAAAAAAAAAAAAAAAAAAAAGAATATGGGTGAATTGACATCAGAAATACCAAACTGATGACTTATTTTTATTTAAGTCACTAAAAATTAATTTGATGTACACTAAACTTATGATTTTCATTGCAGTAAGATATTGCTCTCACGTTATAAGAAACATAGCCAAAATTAAAGAACAAGTTGGAGCCCTAATACGCCTAGTAGAAGTAATAATGGAGACAACACAGTAGATTTCAATAGTCAGCAAACATTTAAAAGAAAATGAATTTCATTGCATTAGGAACCTGATTTTTTTTTTTTTTTTAAACACCAAGGCAGCATATGGTAATTTCACTGATATAAACAGATCTAATAAGTATAATTGTGATTAGACATTGAAATTGAAATGCATGCAATTGCAAGACTTCACTAAATTGAAGCAAAGAATTTGCAAAAATATGTGCAGATAACACCACCTGGATGGAGATAGTGAATCAAGGATGGCTAGCAGCTTTGTATGACTGAAATGTGGTTTAACAGTCCTCCCCTATTATGCAGGCAATGGTTCCTCCATAACTGTAATTTGAAAATTGTCGGGCTAGAGTTCCTTACAAATTTTAAAATTAACATGAGAGAGAGAGAGAGAGAGAGAGAGAGAGAGACAGACCTTTTCTCTTTGTGGAAACTTCAGCATCCTCTTTAACTGCATCAAGAGCAACTGGTGGTTTTGTTGGTACATCAGGAAGATCCAGCTTTTCCTCATGTTCCTTAGATGGCATAGTAGGCACTGTAGGCATGTCTTCAATGGTGATCTGAAAATAAGAGTTTCCAATGCAGATAAGATAGGGAAAAGAAGCACATCCCTGAAACGTTTAAACAAGCAAAGATTCCATACAACAAGACTGAGAAAAACTTATAGATGCACACCTATAAATCCAACAATCACCAGTAGTCAACATCATAGTTGTCCAATCACGACTCAAATCAAGAATTGGAATTCTTATTTTCAGAATTGAGAATTGAATCGAATTGCAAGATTCAGTATAACTTTTCAAAATCAACTAAAAACAATAAACACACATTTATGGACATATTTCCTATTAATTTTATAAAAAGGTACTAAAAATTCAATTGCAAAATCATGTATTATATAAATTTCAATTCCCAATCATGCAATAAATACAAAATAAAAGATAACCTAATGACTTGTGATATTTCAAGTAAAAAATATCAAACTATTAAGTTAAAATTTTAAAACAATAACTAAAACTATTAAGCCATTAGATTTCCTATCCCAATCCAATATTCATCCATCATCATTTCCAAATTGAAGCCCTTGATTATCTTTATCTTCTAATATAACCATATCTAAGCTCTTATTCCTTTACATTGATTTCCACTTGCATTGTTGGGTATGAGAATCAATGACCACATGGATCAACTTGAATCATATAGTTTGAATTGTGAATCATATGATTTATACTCAATTATGATTCACCATAAGATTAGCCTCGTTGGGAATGAGAATCGACTCAAATCATAGTATGATTCAAATTGCAAACTGTGAGATTCTAATGACACTGGTCAAATTTGTCGACCACCACTAACCAACTCTAATCACCAGCAACCACTGACTACCATCATTGGTCACTAAAAACTATCACAATTTATCGTTTTTATGTATTTTTTTTCTCATATCTAACAATAAATTTTTTAAAATATGAACTTTTTACAATTATAAACATTTCATAGTCATATAAATTATTATTGTTTCTAGATTCATACAGCAGATCCAAATTAATCGAGGATTAAGGCTCTTTTGCACCAATTGCCTATGCTTGTTTATTTATTCTTGCTATTATGGACTTGATCTGATATAATGACAAAAGATACATGTAGCCGACCCCAATTAGCTTGGGATTAAGGCTTTGTTGTTGTTGTTGTTGTATAAATAAAATCTTTGATATTTTCATTTAATTTTCAATGGCAATCAAACAATAGAAAATGGCTTAAAATATTTTCCATAAATAAGTAATTTTCACGGAGCCTAAATCTAAACCAAATGGCAAGACTGGATACCAAAAAGAAAAAAAAAAACAGTGAATGCCTAATGCAAATAAAACAAAAAACTTACTATATTAAAACCAATTCCATCTAATTATTTTTCTTCTGATACCCCTCTCCTTAATATTTATAGTAATCAAATGTTAAAAGAAAAAACAGTATAAGGAATACGCAATGCCGACACCCTGGAGATGCTTTAGCATAATGAGCTGATGAATATGAAGGTAGGGATCAATTATGATCATGGAAAGATAAGAGATGCTCATGGTTTGAGTACGAGAATCAAAGGCACTTTTCTTACCAACCATTTTCTTTTTTCCTTTTTATTTTCGGGTGGTATACAGCGGTTTGATGTTGGTTCAACAAATTATCAAATCAAACTGAATGGTAAAATCAGTCAACCAAAATTTTGAATGCTCATTTTTAACAAAACACTTGATTAGTTAATCAGTTCAACCTGTTGTCATCCATCACACCCTTCTAACCATTCTTCGGCCACCAACAGCCAGGAACCGAAAAAATAATTGTTACGTCAATGCCAATATTTATAAAAGTTAAAATTAAAATAAACAAAAATCCCTAAGATAACCAAAATAAAGAAATACAAGTGCTTTATAAAAATATAATGCAGGTGGCAGTTTAATTGATCTTATAGAAAAAATAAAAAGATAAATAAGGTCCAAAAAGCAGTTGATGATGTAAAAGATAGTTGTACCTGAGTTTCCAAGTTCTCGAATTCAGCTAGGATCTCTTCTTCATCTTCTGCTGATAACTTCTCCCCCAAGATGGCATTAATTTCCTTCAAAACCATCACACGTCAGGAGCTTCTATTCCAAAATTATATTAAACTGAAAAAATAACTCGGAGAGAAGAAAATTATAGAACAGTTGAAGATAAAAACTCAAATTATTCACTTGAGCCAGAGACCACTAGAAAAAGAGGAAAAGGGAAAAATCTGCTCACTAGAACTATATAGAGATTTCCAAAAGGAATTGCATCTAGGCAGATGTTCCAAGGCACACGTCTTCAAATGCTTTAGTGAAGCAGTTCTGCTTCCACAAAGATCTAAGTATCCAACCAACTCAACCAACTCATAGATCATAAATAGATGGCGGAAACAAATTGTGAAGGAAAATCAGAAGTCCGAGAACCGCGGATAAGAAAAGCTCTTATCTTTTTTCAGGTAAAATAGGTTTCATTAGTTAATTGTAAAAAGTAGTTGCTCAAAACAGGAAACCTGTATTAATGCTCCTTCACTAATTCTCCCAAATCACGTTGACAAAAAGTCAAAATAAGCATGAGAATAAACAACTGAAATTATAACTTAATGTTCTTAGATCATTCAAGCTTACAAAAATTGTCTGATGAAAACATGTTATGAATGCTAACAAGGACAAAATGAAAAAATAAAGATAGATATGAGAGGGAATATTCATATATCAATCTTGTAGCTACGGGATTATCATAAAACAAATAAACACAGATGGAGAGAGAGAGGGAGAGAGCAAACGCGTGCAAGAGAGAGAGAGAGAGAGAGAGAGAGAGAGATAGAGATTCCAAAAGCAATCAATTAAAAAATGTAATTCATGTATACCCAGAGTTAAGCAATAGCATGGCAAGGACTCAAAAACCCTAATTGATGAGAAGGATGACGTGGCTCACACACCAAGAATCATAATACCTACAGGTATTCAAATCTCCAATCTATAACCAGCAGCCAGCACCCATCAACTATAGAAAAGCAAGTTAAACCCTTAAACTAATCCCCTTAACAAGCACTGCATCCACCATCATTTGACTACAAATTTCACATCCACCATGAATGTGCAAGTTTCACAAACCCATACTGCAATTACAACACCCAACCATTACTAACAATGATGAAGCTGTTGTTAATGAGTACCCAACTCCTAAACATCAATTCTTATAATCCATGAAATCCTGCTAAACACTCCCACCTAGGCGTCCCATCTCCAGTAAGAGGTCTTTAAAAACCAAATGTAGTCTCTTTGCAACCACTAGTAAAAAGGAAATAACTTAAAGCTACTAGCACATAGGGAGCTCGAAATCAAAGCCTAGTGGTGTGTATCCTTGTAAACCTTTGAAGTGCATTAATTCAATTAAATTTTGAATTCTATTTGACAAGTTTTCACACTTAGAAAGCACATGATTGCTAGATTCAATCCTTTCAAGTAAAAAAGACAACATTTGGAAGATATGGACATCATGCCAGAAGTGACTTGTGTCGTAAGCAATCAATTGATTTAATGGATCTCTATTTTATATAAATTTATCTTAATAAATGAGGGTAAACTAGAAACGTAAGAAAAAAAAATCATCTTACTTTTCAAGTAGTCCAGACAATGGAACTGAAACGAATTCTATCACTTTAATATTTATGCCAACAAATGAATTTTATTATAAAGTCATTTAAATTGACTTCTACTAATAGAAGTTAATTGAATTGTAATGCAAGAGACACATGAAAACAAGATTTATGCTTAAAGCAATATATTATGTGGGTATGCTTAGGTCTCCAACTTATACTAATTGTTCAAACAACTGTAGGAAGTAAAACAAGAGAAGCTCACTTGCCATTTGGAATAGTTCAAAAATAAACACATATTTGGCATAAAAATGTTCATGTATTCAGGTACATGCATTTAACATTCCATAAAATTAATATGATTGAAGGAATAAATTCTATTTAAAAGCCTAAAAGATAAAGGATCCGAAAGAAACTAAAATATCTGATGTCAAGAATAACTGAAAATAAAGAAGTAATATTCAACATTAAACTCACATCTTGATAAGCTTTAGCTTCAGCACTATCATCCATTAGCTTCTGGACATCATCCAGGTTGATCTCACTTTGTATTGCCTTGACTGCATCATTACCTGCTTTTAGACTCTCGAAAACAGCTTTCTGCTTGCTGGCCAGTTCAATATCTGCCAACTGAGCCAGAATTATTGTAGAGTTAGTAGAACATCTAGAAAATTGTAGAACTATTCCTGATACAAAAAAAAAAAAAAAAAAAAAAAAAAAAAGAAACTATTCCTGATACAAAAAAAAAAAAAAAAAAACAAGCTACACTTGCCCCTAAATTGTTGTTAAGACAACACCAACTCTATAAACTACCTCTGATACTATATTTAAAGAGTTATGTCAATGTAGGGAATGTGATATTGCAGTCAAATTGTGATAACAAAAAGCACATGGAAAAAAGGACAGAAGGAAAAAAAAAAAAAAAAAAAAAAAAAAAAAAAAAAGCTACTTGCCAAATGTTGTTAAGAGCAACAACCAAAACTACCTGATACAATTTTAGAGTTATTCAAAGTAGGGAAGGTGATATTGCAGTCAAATTGTTGATAACAAAAAGCACATGGAAAAAACAGAAGGAAAAACGAAAAACAAATATTGAATGCTGAAAAAAGAATATAAACTGCACTCTTCCTATCATTTCTCACTTGTTGCTCAACATTAATAAGCCAGGTATCCACTTGCTTCAATAATTCTTCCTGTGTTTTCTTCTTCTTCAATGCTAGCAAGGCTCTATCCTTTCTCTTTTGCCGAATCAAATCTCTAGCAGCATTCTTTTCAGCTTCAATAACTTCTTCAAGCTGAAAAATAAAGAAGATAGAAGCATTACCACAATGCCAGCAGATAATATCTCAAGAACTGGACAATATCATGATCATCCAAAATACTCTGGAAATTGCTTATTTCAAAATTAGAAGCATATATTAGTGCTACAAAGTGCATAAATGCATATGCATATCCTCTATATTAATTAGATGACACAGATAAGGAGAAGAAGATTTAGACTTTGTTCTCCGATAGTTATTGGATCTAAAATTTTATAATATTTTTATATCTTTTTTATTTACAAATTAATTAGTTTACAATTGTTTTGTTTTTAAAAAGTAGGAAAAATTATTAATGGATTTATTAATGGTATTCGAAATTTCCCTCTTTAGAAGTTGAATTTTAGGATAGGGAATGGGGATCACAAGTACTCTAGATGAATAATTTTAGTGCTTCGATTCAAGAGAATTAGTTGCTCAAAGATATAACAGAATTTTCCAGTAATCATGCTTCTCACGGAGTCAATTGACAGAGTGAGTACTTAAACCTTATCGGCTCTATCAAGGTTACTTGACTTTGCAAATTTCCAGAATGAATCAATTGGGCATATGTTCTTGAGGTCTTACCCCGTTTGGAACAAATGAATTCCACAATTTTGTGATTCATTTCAAATTCCAAGTTTTTATGTTTGGAACATTAAAAAATATTAAATTCAATTCTATGGAAATGAACATAACTAAACCAAATTCTTAAAAAAAGTGAAATTTACAAATGAATTCCACAAAACTAACAAAAACATGTTTCGTGGACAAAAATGCACATATTATCTTGTTCTTCTCTCTTTTTCTCTCTTTTATTTTTCTATCTTCAATGTGGTTTCTCCCTACGCAGTTTCTTCACCTTTGGTTTCTGATTCCAACAATATTAGATAATGGTTTTTTGGTGTTTTATTTTCTGGGTTTTGTTTGTTCTCTTATGTGAAAACCTGAGATGGCTCAAGTTCACACGCAGCTACAAGCTCCAGTTTCTACTCCAAAAAGGATGGCAAGCAATGGAGTAACCTAGTTCATGTCAACATCATTGTATGTTGGGGATCTTGAACAAAATGTGACCAAAAAATCTCTGTGATTTGTTTAATCAGCTGGGTCAGGTCATTTCAGTTCAGGCCTGATAGGGAGTTGACCTCTAGAAGGTCCCTCAGTTTAGGGGCTCATGGCTATATCAATTATAATTTTATTTAGACATATAAGAGCTTGCAATTATTTTTATTTTAATCAAAAACACAAAAACAAGATTATTATGTCGTGGAAAAAAGAAATGACATTTATTAAGTTTTTTATGTCAAAGGTAATTTAGGGAAATAAAGGCCAATAAATTTTCAATTCTGAGTTTATTCCAAACATGTTTATTTAGAATTCAATTGAATTCCAGGTTTTAAGTTGCAACATACTGAACATAAAAAATTCATTTGCAAATGAATTTTACTTGAAATCATTTATAAATGAATTTTACATTTTAAATTCACTTATTCCAAACAAAGCTCTAATTTTCCGCATCTTGACAATATCCTCCCTTCTAAATTTTTCATTTTAATCGTTCAGGCAATTCAGAGGATTCCATTAGTACACTTGCAAAAGAATTGCCAACTACCTTATAACTCATTAATTCTCCTAATGAACATCGAGACAACTCTAGAATCAATTTTCCTGATAACCAACTATTGGCCTACACTAAATTTCAGCCCCTAAACTCAATTTCATAACAATAGAATTATCATAGTTCACTGGAATTATAAGTAAATTCTTATCCACTTGCACATACATTTTCCCTTACTAGATAGATCATCATAACCATAAAACAAAGTCTCCAATTCCACCTCTCTCCAGCTACTTACACTCACTGACTTAAGCCATGCCCTTATTGAACTGTTAACGCTTCATAACAGACTTCCTATTCTCAAAAACTCCAATAGTTCTCTCTTGCACTCATCTTTAACCCCTCCAGACTCATGGCAGAACTGACGAAATTGCAGGCAACACAAACAGAGCAGTGAGAATGGTTTTTCAGAGAAAAAAAAAGGTTCTATTTTATAATCTTTAACAGCTACCCACAGTCGCATTTTCACTCCTCATCATTTTCAATAACTCCAATTTCTAAATTAAGCAAAAAAATAAACTAATAAACCAGAAAATGAAAAAAGAAAAAAAAAAAAAAGCAAGTAGGAAATCTAATAATGCTAAGAACACCTCAAAAATCAAATATAGAGAGTAAAACTAAAACCTTTTGTTGGTATTGCGCAAGCTTACGCCGTTGGGTCTTGAGAGAGAGAATTGCTCGATCCACCTCTGTTATCTTAGGCTTCTTCACAAGTAAATTCCCCATCTCCTCCTATCTAATAGTAAAATAAACAAGATTTACGAGTTTAGATAATGAAAAGACATAATTATAGCTGCTAAAAAGTTAAAAATAGAGCAATTAAAAACTGAAAGTGCAAAAAATTCAAAAAATCAGAGCTTTATAATGGACTTACTTTTTAACAGTGATTCTTGAAGCCCCTAAAATCATACACCAATGGTCAGATAATGTCCTAGCAATATAATCTCCTAGAGCTTTTTTTTTTTTTTTCAACTCCTGCAATTTTATCTGATTAGAATCCATATGTATCAACCAACAATTAAATTGAATGAAACAATTTTGAAGAGAAAAATAGACATTAAATTTTCTTGATTTAAATTAAATCAAATTTACAATCTGATGTTGAATTAGATAGAAACTTAAACATCAATATTAAAACAAGAATGAAAGAAGTTCTCTTAATCTCCAAATGATAAAATAATATTCAAAAATTAAAAAAATAAAAGTTTTCTCTACCCCATGGTTTACCCACCACCCAACCTCTATCCATGGCGGAGACAGAACATAATTCGGCTTCAATCTTACATGGCACCAGAACATCAACAAAATAATATCAGCATAACTTCTATATTAAGGTGAAAAAAAAATTCAGAAGTACAAAAAAACAAAGATTTTGATAAACCCAGAAACCTATACAATTTATTGACGTGCCGCAATATTGATCATCGCTGCATGATACTCCTCATCCACCCATGAAGATGGTATGAAAATTCAGATGTCTCAACCCACAAAAATATTATTCCCACAATCAAATCAGTTCTTCAACTTGCTCATTAATTGGATGCCAAAGATTACAAAATCTGAAAACAAAATCATGGGAATCCATAGATTTCAAATTTCTTACCGTGTGGTCAGATTGAAAACTTGAAAAATCTCAATCTTGAGTTCTCGATCTATTTTCTCTATCCCTGTTTGGTGAAGTAAGGAATATCAGAAAAGTAGTCGTTTAGCCTTGTAGATCACTACAGTGCTCAGATTTTTAGTGAGACAGAGAACAGGAAAGAGTTTCGAGAAAGATGAAACGAGGAAGAGAGGACAGATGGGGAAAAGTGGGAGGAAGAGCGTATATGAAACGACACCGTCCTCCAATAGTTTGGTTTTTTTTTTATCGAAATAAATGTTATTTTATTAAAAATAATTAATCTAGTAAAACTTTAACTTAGACCAGGGATGACGAAATCTGATTTTTGGAACCACAGTCCAGGTTCAGTTCTGATTCTAAATTTTTTTAGAATTGTAAACCAGCTGTTCAAAGAACTGAATGAAATCGAATATTTGACAATCGGTTAAAACTGACAGTTTCAACAGGTTCCAACTTAAATTTTTTTTCTTTTTTTAAAAATTTTTATCAAATTTTTAAAATAATCATCCTAACAACTATAAACGGCTAGTTTTAGGAAAATTTATGAAAGTTAAATTTTTTAGATTTACTACAAATATCCTATTATTTTCATTCTCTTAGTACCAAATTATTTCTCTTTCCTCTCTAGTCTCTCGAAGCTCTCCAAGTTATAACTATTGTCCTAATTATTGTTAAATAATTTCTATGAACTCTAATTAAATTCAAGCCCTTTTTATTTATTTCTCTTAAAGTTTTCTTTTTAAATTATTTCATAAGTTTTCTTTTTAAATGCTCCCAAATTTTTTGATTTAAAATTATGTAAATCACCCAAAAAATCGATCAAAAAATTGTTTGAAACCGTCGGTTTTGGAACTATTAAGGAATTGGAACTGTAACCGGCCAATTTCAAACTATAATCGGAACTGTCAGTTTTCGGTTCCGTATTTTGTGGAACTGAAACCATGGCCACCCAACTATACATAACGAACATAAGTCATTAGATGGTATGCTTTCTCCTTAAGCAAAGATACTGCACATAACACGCGATCAGCAGGAATACACTGCATCTGCTCGAAGATTCGCTCAGTACTCTCTAACCAGTACTCTACAATAGACGCATCATTTGACTTTTGGCCTTTGAACTCGACAGCCCTATATTTCCTCAACCTCTCAATCGGTGGCCTAGGAGCAGAAACATAAGCTGTAGGAACTAGAGGCGCTGCACCAACAGCCTACCTCAGTATGTCGGCCATCTGCTGGAGGAATGCATCCTGACCATATTTAGGAGCACCATGATTAGTCGAACCAATAGGAACAGTAGCAGCAGGTGCAACAGGAGGAACGGGTGGAGCATAACTCTTCGCCTCCTCGTCCGCAGCGTCTCAGGAGCCCGACACAAACATCCTAACCCAATGAGCCTACAACCATAAAGATCCACAAGATACAACATCAGAAAAATATTCCTTAATAGTCTCTTAAGGCATGTAAACTAATTAGACTCTTATTATATCTTAAAACAAGTTAAATCCTAGAATCAATTAACATAATGCTCTGATACCACTAAATATGACATCCAAAATCCAGTTTCATAAAACAGGACCTTAAGAGCCACTTTAGGTTTAACACTGAAGTGTTAAACTAGCATGCTTAATACTTGACAATTCAAAAATATCCCTTTTAGTTTTACAAAAATTACTTGGAAAAATTTTCAGAGAAATCCTATAGAAAATCTGCAAGAGTTCCCCCTATATATTTAATGTCACAAAAACCCAAAAAAACTTTTAAAATACTTCTATAATCCGTCCACACCACAATTATATTTTCAAATTTATTTTTCCAAAACAAACTCCACGTTTTCAATCCATCATCCAACACATCTCATAAAAGCTCAACATAGAAAATAAGTCAGTTCTTTTTAATTGAAAGCATTTAAGATATTTACCATAAAATATTCTGATTCTGAAAATAAAACTATTGTTCTAAATATTTAGTTCATAATATTCTGATTTAATAAAAATATTCTAGTGCATTAATTATATTTATATGCCACTAGATTTTCTAAAGACTGAAATAAAAGAGACACTATTGAAAACTAATTGTAGTGGAATAAGGGGCCTCTGAATAGTCTGATGCTCGTTGTGGATTACCTACCCTGAATAAGCAACCTACGCGTGATAAGTCAACGTGCTAAGCACAAAGCTTTGTGGTGCTTGTTTCTCATTTATAGCAAAGAAATACACATAAAAAGTCGTAACATCACAAATTATAAAATATAACATTTTGTTATAATCAGGCAGCATAATCATGATATAACATATTTTAATCGCGTAATATAAATATTCATAGTCAGCATGAAAAAATTACTTGGGAAAAAATTTCAGAGAAATATCCTATAGAAAACTGCAAATCCCCCATATATAAATGTCACAAAAACTCAAAAAAACTTTAAAATACTTCATAACCCGTCCACACCAAACAATATATTCAAATAATTTTTCCAAAACAAAACTCCACGTTTCAATCCATCATCCAACACATCCATAAAAGCTTCACATAAAAATAAGTCAGTTCTTTTTAATTGAAATCATTTAAAGATATTTACCATAAAAAATAATCTGATTCTAAAAAAACTATGTTCAGAATATTTAGTTCATAATATTCTGATTTAATAAAAATATCAGTGCATATTATAATGCCACTGAGATTTCTAAAGACCTGAAATAAAGAACACTTATGAAAAACATAATTGTAGTGGGAATAAGGGGCCTCTGAATAGTTCTGATGCTCGTGTGGATACCTACCCTGAATTAAGCAACCTACGCGTGATAAGTCAACATGCTAAGCAACAAATGGCTTTTGTGCTTGTTTCTCATTTATAGCAAAGAAATACCACAATAAAAAGTCTAACATCACAAAATATAAAAATATAACATTTTTGTTAAATCAGGGCAGCATAATCAATAAAAAACGATATTAATCGCGTAATAATAAATATTCATAGCAGTCATGCTAATTAATATCAATAATAATAGCATCAACTACTAGAACATATGATCATGAATCACATAACACATATGTCAAAACACAATAATAATCACAACTAATAATTTAATAAAACTATATAAATTAGGCTTTAGCATAATATAGCAGATAGAGAATTCCATAATAAACATTTCGGCCGAAAGCCCACGTAACATCATACGACCCATCGGTCGGAATCAAATGGCCATATTTAGAAAAGAGGTTTATTAGCCCCTATAAAAATTGGAGTTCATTAGCTCCTATAAAATGTGGTTCATTAGTACCTATAAGACACTGCATGTTACATATAGACAGTACTTTATTCACATGGCATGTTATACCCCTATACAACTATTGACTTAATCAAGTAGACTAAGGTCGATAAAATATTTATTATAATTAATTCATTCTATAATTCATCCATGTCAGTGTCCATAAATAAACATCCAGTCTCATAATTAGACCGGCTTTTATTACAGTCCGAAAAATATTCTCTTTCCTAAATTCTCTTTATTCATAAAAATCATATTTTTCTATACTAAATATTTCATCATAATTTCATATCCTTAAATTAAAATGCATAATCATACTTATTTTCTTATAATCTATACATAATTGCATAATCCTATATTAATTTCACAAAGAATATTTTATAAAATAAAATATTTTATTATGGCATCAAAAATTCATATCATCCAATTAAAATCATAAGCATGGCATATTATCACATAATCACTCACAATTCACTAATAAGCACAAATTTCAAGACTATGGCACAATTTCCAAGGCACTAATATTAAACATGGTATATCACTACCTAATTAATTCATATTTCACTTATTTTCTAATATTCTCCTAACTTGGACTTAAGTGGATCAATTAATTAACTAATTGATCGAAGAGGATTTTTAAACCCAATATTTCTTTTTGCTTCCTAAATTATACTAATTGGCTATTTGATTGATGTAGTAGTCATAAAATTCTATTATTTACCAATTAAGTACCTAATTAATATAGATATCACCAATTAACTATCTATCCACTTAATTTAATAACTACTAACCAATTAATTGTAATACCCTGAATTTTTATTTTCAAAACTTTTAAATTTTTAATAAATCGAAAATCCAAATTTTTGATGAGATGGGCTGTAAGTACCGAGCAATTACAATCTGAGCCTAAATTGCAAGTTGGGCTCAAGCCCAAAACGCATTATCGGCATTACCGGGTTGAGAATCTTTAGAAAGTTTCAAGAACGAATATGGAGCCCTAACTATTAATGTATTTTAAATATATAAATGTAAATGTGGTTACCACGGGAATTAATTATCTTAAACATCTAAATATTATGATTATTAATCTTAATATTAAGTAAATTGAAGAAATGTTATAGAACCTAAATAAAATAATAAAAATAAACCAAACCGGATATGTAAACCAGGTGAAAATCCCGTAAATCAAGCAAAATCGGGCTAAACTACTGTTTTAGACCAAACCGATTCGAATCGAACCAGAATGGTTTAGAAGCTGCAAGATTTTTCGTTCTTTCTTTTTTGTTCCTTCTCTCTTCCTCTCTTCTTCTTCGCGCACGCAAGGAGCAGCAATGCTCCTCTCCCTCTCCTCGTTTCCGGCCACCGCTCAACGAAAGCTAGGTGGCAGTCGGCTCGTCTGGTGCTGGTGGTCATGTCTCCAGCCCCCTCTCGCGCTAAAAAAGCTTCAATGGGAACAGAACGGAGTTGTTCTCCTTGACAGCTCGTGCTCAACAAATTCCGGCTATCCATGCCATTTCCAGCAGCTTCAAGGCGAGGGACATGCTTCGATCGACTCCTCTCTTCCCAATGAGCCTCTTCCTCCCATCAGTTTCGGCGACAAAGCTTGGCTGACGAAAACGCCATTTCGACTCCTCTCTTCCCAATGAGCCTCTTCCTCCCATCAGTTTCGGCGACAAAGCTTGGCTGACGAAAACGCCATGAACGGCGATGGCGAAGCCACTGTCGGGTCCGATCCGGCCAGCTAGGGGACTGATCTCGCTCAATTGACGCTTAAATCGGATTCTTGATGAAAAATCGAGTCGAATGGTATCATCGTGATAAATTTATGGGCAAGGCCAATTTTCCGGCCACCGTTCACGGCGGCGACTGCGGCGGTCCCGCGACTGGCCAGTGAGACTTCA